CCGATGATCAACAGTAAAGATAAAAACCCGGTTTGCGTCCGATATTTTTATATCTATTTTGAGAATTCGCCGTCTCGAATTAAGGTCGCACCATCATACTATTTGCAACTTGCAGAATATTAAATATGAATCCATCCGAAAAATGCAATTAATAAAATATTAATGTAGTCCAAAACATAAATTCGATTGTAAATAATAAACAATTCTCTGCGCCAAGTCATGAAAATTTGGTATTGATTAATCTAAATTAGAACGAAATGTGTAACTTTGGTTGATGATGCCTTCTTCCATGCATAGATTTTATAAAACAAAATAAAGTTCAAAACAAAAAATGAACCCTAGATTAGGCAAAAGACGCGACTTTGTTCTCAGATTCGATCATTCATTGGTTCGTTCTCGATTCATGTTTCACGTGACGTTGATAGATTTGTGAAATAGGTTCATTGACAGTTATAATTATGCAAAGAACTTTACTTTAATTGGAATACAAGCTCTTTACTCACAATGTGTAATCATGTAGTACTTTGACCAATAATAACAATGGCATATCTCAAAAAAAAAAATAAATAAATAAAAAAATTCGAACTGGTATTTAAACACGTGCTCAATCTCTTACAAAAGAAGCTCAAAACATGAAAAAAACTTTAACAGAAAAAAATCAAATAGATTTTATTATTTTTTAATCTTTAATTAGTACAACCAAACCATTGAATGGTTGTATTCCTGAATTAGCTAAAGTTCGAATTCTTTGGTAATTACCAATCACGTATCGACTCGATTTTAGAGGCGGACATTGGGTTAATTATACAATTATAATATCATTGGCTGCTGATTTATTTGACCACGTGACGGACCGATCCGATCCCAACCTTCAGATTGGACCGAGATCGGTCATATGATCGGATCGCGATCCAAACCGTCTATCGTTAACATCCCTAATTTCGTGACGTTTTGAATAAAAAAAGAAAAAAAAAACTCTGAAAATTTAAAAAGAAAATGGCTTCGTTCGTTAAAAGTTCACGTCTTGAAAATGCTTTGGCAAATGTTATTCAGTATAGAATACGTATATTTGCCGGTATTAAACAAAACGCAAAAATGGTAAATAATTTACATTCAATATTAAGATAAAAGACGCGCTCGTTAAGTTTTATGTTACTAATGAAAGTATCGTCTCATTATAGACGCAGCATAATAATATCATGAAATCCCTTATAAGTCAACGCCTTTATTCCACCAACTTCTTGTCTCCTCAAGGGCCTGTTGATAAGCCGTCTTTGGGGGGTGAACGTGAAAGCGCGTCATACTTAACAAAGTCTAAAAACGATGGCTCTTCTTCATTCTTAACAAAATCTAAAAACAATGACACTTCAACCTTTGCACCTACGCCTGTGTTTGGTTCTACTAATTTATTGGATAGTCAAACAGAACAAACAACAAGCGAGATTGTGTGTGATAATAATTTTGAACAGGACTGGTCAAAGTCATTTTTTGGTTTATCCACCAAAGCTTTTCCAAAGGAAACCGCTGATATTCTATTGGCTCCAATCGAAGTAGATGATGTTGAGTGCAAGCCTGGTAAATCAAATCATTTATTTCGATAATTTAATGACTGGTACGACGTCTTTGACCTTGATCTTAACTTTATTGGGTTTATTGGTGTAATAGATGGAATGCTTTATCTGCCCGAAATTAAGTATCGTCGCATATTGAATAAAGCATTCGGACCTGGAGGTAAAATCTTGTTGATTTATTAAAAATATGTTATCAGAATTTATACTAAATTTTCGCTTCTTATATAGGCTGGGGATTGGCTCCTCGTGGGGATCATTCTGTTAGTCCAAAGACGATTTCACGTGAATTTGCACTTATTTGCCACGGACGGTATGTCGTGTAATACTTTTCACTAAATTGATTTATCTATTTTAATGTTTATTAAAGTGTAATATATATATATATTTCAGGCTTGTATCGGTTGCTCGTGGTGAACAAGAATATTTTGATCCTTCCGGATTAGCCACTGCTGCGGAAGGAACAAAAAGTAACGCTCTAATGAGATGCTGTAAGGATTTAGGAATCGCGTCTGAACTTTGGTAAAGATTTCATTTAAATCGCTTGTTTTTTTTTTTTTTTTTAGCGAATTTAATTTGATTTAATTGCAACATTAACAAAATAACCTTTTTATCTTAGGGATCCTATTTTCATTCGTGATTTTAAAAAAAAATATTGTGAGGAATTTTTCTGTGAACATGTTAATAGCAAAAAGAAGAGAAAGATTTGGGTAAAGAAGGGTAGTGATGTCGAATATCCTTATGTAAGATCATCGGGTGGATATTGAAACATGTGTTATGGTCTAATTCGAAGATGATGACTTTTTTTTCTATTGAACTTTACCGGTACTTAATCATGAAGGGTGACTTCATTTAATCAATTAATTTTTTTTTTTTCTCCCTGATGTTGTCTATCATATCTCTTTGCTAAGATCTTATCTTTTGGTTATTCAAGCTAAATCAGTAAAATCATTACATATTTGTAACTCAAAAAAATATTAAATTTTTATGTAACCATTTTATTTTATGTTGATTCAAAAATATAAACTTATAGATCGCCGCATTTTCTGATAGTGCTTTTAAGTGCTTTACATGGTAACACAGATAGATATCTAATCATTTTTATCATTTCAATTTATATTCGAGATCTGCTTTTTTTTGAAAATCTCAAATTATTATGATGCTTCGTTCAAGGTCTATCGCTTTCGTAAAGTCTTTAAGCATACCTAAAGTATATCTTAATAAAAAAAAAAATTTTTCAGTATTTTAAATAAATTGTATATTAATGAATTATAAAATATAGCGCTCATTTGCTTCGGCGTCTCCGATCACCGAACCCTATAGTGGAAAGAAAAATGCAAACGTAAAGTGTCGCATTTTTTTTTTTTTATTTTTTTTTTAAAAAAAAATTTGCTTATCGTTCGTTAAAAAAAATTAGGGTAATTATACCGTTACACTTATACCCGGTGATGGAATTGGTCCGGAAATTTCGGAATCAGTACAACGAATATATCAAGCAGCTGGAGTAAGATATTAAGTTTTTAAGTACAGTATTACTTTTGAGATATTGGTTTACACCAAAGTTTGGAGGAATAACCTTTTTTATTCAATGATTAACTAATTCATTGAACATAAATTTTCAAATAATTTGATTTTATTGATTTTACTTATGATGATATCTTATTCAATTATTTATCAAGGTTCCAATTGAATGGGAACCAGTAAACGTCACTCCCATTTTAAAAAAAGGAAAGACAACAATTCCTGAAGAGGCTTTACAATCAGTAAGAAAGAATACCATTGCTTTGAAAGGTGAGTTAAAAAATTAGATAAATGAATTTCCGAAATCGAAAGTGATTTTTTAAAATAATTCCACTTTTTAATAATTAGGTCCTTTGGCCACACCCGTTGGAAAAGGTCATGTTTCTCTTAACCTTACCCTTCGTCGTGCGTTTAATCTATTTGCAAACGTTCGACCATGTAAATCCGTTGTTGGTTATAAAACACCTTATGATGATGTAAATACGGTCTTAATTCGTGAAAATACGGAAGGGGAATACTCTGGAATCGAACATACTGTAAGAGAATATATGTGTGTGTATATATATATATACACAATATTCATCAATTAATTTATTCATTTCATTAATATTCTAATTTTTAAGATGTTTGATCTTTATAATAGGTTATAAACGGTGTCGTTCAATCGATCAAATTGATTACCAAAGAAGCATCTGAGAGATGTGCTCACTATGCCTTTAATCATTCAAGAGACATTGGGCGAAATCGCGTTACCGCTATACACAAAGCAAATATCATGTATGGATACAAAATTTATTGATTAAAAATATCAAACTCAACATCATGCTTAAAAAAAGCCTTTCACATTTCATTTAGGAAATTATCAGATGGCCTTTTCTTGGAAGCTTGTTACAATGTGGCAAAGCATTTCCCTGATATACACTTTGATGATGTGTTATTGGATCGGGCATGTCTTCATGTAAATAAATTTAAGAGAACCTTTTAACTTTTAATTTAAACCATAATTATTCTTAAAACTTTTGAATTTTAAAAATTTTGTAGATTGTTCAAGATCCTGCTCGTTATTCGGATACAGTCATGGTTATGCCTAATTTATACGGGGACATTCTTTCGGATATGTGTGCAGGATTGATTGGAGGACTTGGATTGACTCCATCAGGAAATATAGGACGTGATGCTTCGATTTTTGAAGCTGTACACGGCACCGCGCCTGATATTGCTGGCAAAGGCAAGTGAAAATAAAGTAATCATTGAAATCAAGAGGAATTTAACGGATCAAGATTATTCACCACTTTTTAAAAAATCTTTATAGATTTAGCAAATCCCACAGCGCTCCTATTATCTTCCATTATGATGCTTCGTCATATGCACTTAAATTCTTACGCTGAATCTATTGAAAATGCTGTTTTAAAAACGATTGCTGAAGGGAAACACCTTACGCGTGATCTTGGTGGACAGGCGACGAACACAGAATTTACAAACCGAATTATTAATCATTTAGATGAGTAAACAAATGATGGTTCAAAATTTATTTATGCTTATTTAATATTAAAGTAGCATTTTATAGCATGGAACGTTTCAAGGTAAAATAAAAAAATACAAGAAAAAAATAAAATAAAAAAAAAAAAACCAATAAAATAAAATAAAATTAAATTAAAGTTTCTCTTTTAATTACAAACTCGGTTGATCGTCATGCGTGCTACTAAAAAATTTAAAACATGTTAGATCAATGTTTGTATTTAGCATAATAGTCCGAAACGTCCTATTTTTCATATTTCGGACCTTTGCTTTAATGAACCGCATTGTGTTTGAAAGTCAAAAACCAAATATAAATTTATCGAAAAAAATCAATAAATTACCGGTTTTTCCGCTCATCATTTTTTGAAAAAATTAAATTAAAGTAGTAAGTAGATGGCACAATCTTTCGTAAGAAATCAGCGATCATATGAAATTACACCAACAGCCAATACAATTTTTCCCTATCAAAGTAGCCATACCCAAACTTACAAAATTTTAACAAAAACGGGCCCTTCAAATCCTTTCGCATCTTATTTTCGCAAACTCTTAACAGAACTCAAAATGGTAAAAACTTCTTTTAAATTCCTTGAATATTTTTTTTTTTTTTTTTTTTTTCCCCTCAATTTTATGATTTCGATAGGGAGATCAAATTGAATGTGCCTTGGACCTTATGAGACGTCTCCCTCCACAAAATACGGAGGAAAACCTTTCAAATCTTATAACTCTTATACCAGATCATCATGAAGACTTGTTAAACAATGTTGACCAGCCACTCAAGGTCGCAAAATGTAAAACGAAAAATCGAGATTACTTACTGTCTCCTTTCAATAGGGATGGCGATTCTTATCGGTAAACTTGGTTTCTCTTCTAATATATTTACGTTTTTTAATTTTAGGCTTAAAATTTATGTGAATTACAAAAATTACAAAATTCTCTCTTACTGCGGTTTATTAACGCGCTTCTCATTGACATAGGATCATTTCTTTTTTTCAGATCATTAACAACTATATCTTCTTGTTTGATAATGATCATCTTTTATTAGTTCTCCTTGGTCAAACGAGTATGATCCTCCCATATCTGACGGGATATTACCTTCACCCAAAACACGAAAGTTGGAAGTATCCGCCAATGATGCTTTTGATACATATCGTGATATGTATGTACTTAATCTCATTGAAAATCAATCGTATACATGTATACGTGAATATATATATTTTTCTTTACTAAATTTTTTATTGATATTCATCCTAAAAAAAGGTATTATGAAGGGGGTATTTCTTCGGCGTATTTTTGGGATGAGTCGGATGGGTTTTCTGGTGCAGTTTTATTCAAGAAAGGTAAAGCTATATATATATATGAATGTATTCTTTGATCATTAACTTTTCAGTACTAACTGATCTTTTTTTTTTTTTGTTTTTAGTTGGTGATGGTGTCCGTAAGATGAAAGGAGCATGGGATTCAATCCATGTATTCAAAGCAAATGAACGTGGTCGCGGTGCACATTATAAATTAACTTCTACCGTTATGTTGTACACCATTACAAGCAAGCCCGAACTTGGTCATATGAATCTTTCTGGGAGTATGACGAGACAGGTAAGGAGTTATTATGATCACTTTTTCTTTTATTTAAATGGCAATTATTGATTATTATTTTTTTAAATTAGTTTGAAACCGATTATCCCTTTGATGAACCTTCTTCTCACATAGCAAACATTGGACGTATGGTTGAGGATATTGAACTTAAAATGCGTAACCTTCTTCAAGATGTTTATTTTGGCAAGACTAAAGATATTGTAAATGATTTGAGGTCGGTTAAATCGCTTGTCGAAACTCAAAGGCAAGCTGATATTCAAAAAGAATTACTAGGGAAGTTGATGGAACGAAAATCATAGAGGAAAATTAAAATATTGCGTTTGAACTTTTACAACGAAAAATTGTTAATATTTTTCAAAGCAAAATACCCATTTTTTTTTGTATCGAAAATATTTATACGTGTAAATTCAATTATTTAATAAAATATTAATTTAAGGAACTCATGATAAAAGCGCATCTTTTTTTTTTTTTTAATTCATTTATGAGAATGCAATTGTTCTCTAAAATTGGAAATTGATTTTGTTGTGGCTATGCTACTTTTATCTAGATTTTGCTAAAGCAATGAATCAATGATTGATTTGGATTTGGTTTTCAATACAAAAAGCCCAAAAAGATCTATAATATTAATTTGAAATACTTCAATGAATTTTCTCCTAATAGTCTAACTTTTTTTTTAAAAAAAAAAAAATTCCTCTTTCGTATAATGCCAAGGTAATGTGGCATTATACTAGAATTTTCTATCATTTAAACATTAGGAAAAAAAAAAAAAAAAAAAAAAAAAAAAAAAACGAACTAAAACTTATATAACATATGTCTTGAAACCTTTATTTGAATTAAGAAATACGGATGTCAACAAATTAATCTACAATATTTTGACCAGAATTATATATAAATACTAATTGAGACATAAAAAAGTTAACCTGCATTATAACGAGTTTAGTCAAGAAATTAGAATAAAAAATTTTGACCAATCATAGATCACTAAACATTTTCATGCAAGTTAGCGCCACGCAAATACTTTTAGCTAATCTCAGCTAAATTTCCTTTTCTCTTTTAACCCCATTTCACAAAAAGGCACCACAAAACGCATATAGACAATACAAACTACGAAAAAAGGCTACTGCTACCAAACTACCTGTCAATAACGATAACCCAAATAAAAGAAAAGACTTTTTTACTTCCTCATTTGAAAACAAGCCACAGAAATGAGCAATCTCAGTAACGTTCAACGAAAAATTAGTAGCGGCTCGGGAGAAACGTTACCTGAACAGATTTCACGAAGAGGAAGTAAACGAGAACTTGAAGACGACCTAGACGATGATTCTGGTGACGACGAGAATAAGGCGGAGAAAAGAGCTGGACGTCGTAAGATAAAAATCGAATACATTGATGATAAAAGCAGGCGTCATATTACTTTTAGTAAACGAAAGGCTGGTATAATGAAAAAGGTAACCACAATTTTTTTTTTTTTTTTTTTTCTTCCCTTGGAAAGGAATTGTATTATATTTTTTATTACTAGTAGTATTATTATTTTTTTATTATGATTATTATTTTCATTAATATGCGCAACTACGAAAAAGGGTTTCCGAAAAATTTTTTGTTTTTGTTATGTGGGGTATTTTACCCCCCTATTTTTTTTTTTTTTTTTTTTGTTTGTTACCACCTTTGGCGAAACTTGGCTAGACAAATATCGTAATAGGACATATGTACATCCTATTTTGTCTCGATGAATTTTTGTAAACTTTGCCCAGTTTATCAATTCGTTCTCCCACGCCTAGTACCGATCTATCCTTGTTAACTGTTAAATACTTTCTTAATCAGGCGTATGAACTTAGTACCTTGACAGGCACGCAAGTTCTTCTTCTTGTCGTATCCGAAACTGGTCTCGTTTATACTTTTACGACCCCGAAACTTCAACCTCTTGTCACAAAACCCGAGGGTAAAAATTTAATCCAAGCTTGTCTGAACGCACCTGATGGACCGACAACTCAGGAAACAACCGCGGTAAATTTCAATGATTAAAATTTCGAAACCTTTGGGCTTAGAATTTTTTTAAAAAAAATTTTTTTTTTTTTTTTTTTTTTTTGATCGTATCGATCATTTTTCTAGCAACCGCGTGCGCCTCAAAGTACCACAAGCTATGTGGGTGATAATACGCCTACGGACGGAAATAGCGATAACGTTTATGAATCCGATCGGAAGGTAAAGTGATATTTTTCGTCGTCTCGTGATAATATCTAAAATATAAATAAATGGAATCTGATTAACATCATTATTCGAATCACAGCAGCATCAAGCTTCTAATAACGGACAAATACCACCCGCACAACCCTATGCTATAGGATTAAATCCATATGCAAATCAATATGGTGGTATCCCAAGCAGTATGGCAATGGGTGCCGGGGGTCTCGCCGCTCAGTCTTACATGTCTCCAGCGGCTCAATATTCTCAATACAGTCAACAACAACAGCATTTGAACCAATATGCTGCCGCTCAAAATTCTCCTTATATGCAAAGTCCTAATGCAGGTTATTGGAATCAGTCTAATACTGGAGGGAATGGGGCATCAAAAGTTCAACAATTTTCACCTCAATCTACCGAGAAGAAATGAAGTTCAAAGTTGCGCGTGATCGATCCCGAATTTTCTTATTTTTTTCTTTATAATTTTTTCCATGTAGAATTTTTGATGACAATATGCTAACATTTAAAATATTTTTTTTGCTTTTTTGTCCTGCTTTAAAGAAAAAAAGCTCCATATCAATTTTTAAGTTGAAATTTATCCTATTTGACATGGGTTAAATTAATATTGTAATCTCTCGATAAATTCAACTATTGATTTTTTTAATGAAAACAAAAAATCTGCATTTTTTAATTTGATATGGTTAATTCATTAACGAGCGGGAGCTTTTTTGTCATTTCTTTTCCTTTTTTTTTTTTTTTTTTTTTTTTTTTTGTATATCATTTATTTCCCTTTCTTTCGAAGTTGAAGTCAATAACAATTACTTCGTCTGGTTGTTAATAAAATACTTTCTATCCTTTTTTTTTTTAAACCTTTGCTGGACATTCTTTTTTCAGTATACCCTCCCTCCCCTTTTTTTTTTTCATAAACACTTTGTAACCATTTTATTTCATTTATTATAATTATTATTATTATTCCGATATCATTAGTTTTTTTCTTTCTTTCTCTGTTATAACGAAAAAAATTTTTTTCCGAGCTAACAAAATTATTGTTTAGTTGTATAGTCATGGAAGAAAAAAAAAAAAAAAAAAATTTGAACTTTTTAAACAAGCATTTTTTTTATTATTAGAAAAAAGCGAAAGATTGATTTTTTTTTTTTGACAAATAAAATATATATATAAATATCAATTAACTTAAAATGGAGATACAAATATATTTGAACCCCAAAAAAAGAAAAAAAATTAAAGACGACATAGATAAATCACGTTAATCGGAAATCCTATATAAAACGAGTGTAATCTAGAATTTACCGTTACACGAGCAATGCCCGAGAGTTTGTTACATTACAGCGTTGAAAATGAAATTACTTCAACTTCATTCTTTCTACTATTCATAACTTGAATTATTTCAAAATGGCTCGTAAGTATCCGAAAATTCACTTTTTTCTTTGTTTTTTTTTTTTTTTTTTTGTTGTTTCATACCGAACTTATACAATTTTTGACAGGTGGAAATCAAAGGGAAAAGGCTCGTGAAAAGAATTTGAAAAAACAGTCTAAACAGACCAAAAAAAAAGAAGATGGAACTGCTTTTAAAAAACGAGCCGAAAGGTACGTTGTAATTATTAGTCCTTCTTTCTCTTTACCTTTTTTTCTTTTACCATTAAATATTCGTAAAGGAAATTATGTATAAAACAGTACTATTTTCAAGTATCGTTTTCTAAATCAAAAAAAATTATTTTTGTATGTTTTAATTTGAAAGAAAATTTTGTTTTTGAGTTGATACTAAGTTTTGTTTTATTTTATTTTTTTCTTTATAATTATGTTTTTCTTGTTTTTATTGTTTAACTTGACCTTGAAATTAATTTTTGTGGATTTAAAAAATGTACATGCATACATTTTTTTCTATTCGAAATCGTATTATCATCAGTGATGCTGAAATTATGAGGCAAAAGCAACAAGTGAGTTGAAATCAGATGATTATTTTGTTCCTTTTATGAGGTTTATTGAAATTTTTTTTTTAATTTACAGAAAGCTTTGGAAAAAAAATCCACGGACACTGTTCAAGTTGATAACAAATGATTCAAGAGGTAAACAAACAAATGTTGGTTTTATTTTATTCGTTAAATTTTGTTTTTATTTATTTATTTATCTTATTACAATCTTATTTCCTATAAAAAAAGGATTTCTTTTTTTTTTCTCGTGTTTGTTAACGATGTTGAATATGAATTTTTTCTTTTGATAAATATTTATAACATCAGCATATCATAACATAAAAGAAAAAAAAAATATTCAACGAAAAAAAAAAAAAAAAAAAAAAAAATCAGATTTGTTGGTTTCGTGGTTAAATAAGGAGGCAAAGTATTTTTATTTTTATATATTTTTTTCGCTATGATTATTAAATTATCAATCAAATAAAATTTAAATTATGAAGAATAAATTTGTATCGTTATTTAATTTTATAACAAGGTAATTAATCGAAATGTTAATTAATCTGTTTAATTGAATTAGTTCATGTAATTTTCAATCACGTAAGATTTATTTTGCTTATAACCTAAAAATTAAGTTTATTAATTATTGATTCATATGACTATATATCATATGACTTTCAAATTGCGCAGCAAATAAATTGACTTTTTTTATTAATGATCAAGTTTTAAAATTTTAATATAATGTGTGAACTAATAATACTTCGCGAAATTAAACTGATATGTAACTATTCCTGATATTCATTTTCTTTATAATTTAGCCTGTTTTTTGAATATCATCAAATATTATGATCTTTTTCATTACATGTTTTTAATATCATTTTGATTTATCTTATATAATATGATTATTTTCTAATGCTGATTTATATCACTTTGAAGTCTTTCTTATAGTTTGTAATTTTCAGGATTTGATACTTTAAGAAGATTAATTAAAGATTATTATGTATCTCATATAATTTTAAAAGAATTTTACAAATCATATAATATAGAAATAAAACTGAATTTTTGCTTTTCTCATTACCTAACCTACTTTGATAATATTCATAATAAATTAAGTTAAAATTCTAATCAATATATCTGTAATAATTTCCATTACAGCAATCTATTTTCTAATTAATTATATAAAATATATTGATAGTATTTAGTTAGTAATATATATTAATAGTATACTAGTATAATTTTTTTTCTTTAACAATTATAACAAAACTTGTTATTTCAGATGAAATTAAATTAAATCAGCATATATAAATAAGTAATATATAGTCAGACATCTATATAATCATACTTTATATTATTACATTTCTTTATAAGTATCTATTTTTATAAAATGTATTTTTATTATTAAATTATTTTTATATTTAACTATAATCATTATCACACAAAAATTTTTAATATATAAATTACTTTATTAATAATTAAACCTCAAGTAATTACATAATAATTTTTATTTTTATTTTAAAAGTTAATCAACTTTTATTTAAAATTATAATTATTAAATTTTATTTTATTAAAAATTGATAAATAGATCTATTGTAACATATTAAATATAGTAGATTATCAATCATAATGTAACATAAAAAAATTTCTTTCTTTAATAATGTCTTTTCTTAGAATTAAAATAACTAAACTAATTTAACTTTTAATTATAAATGATAAAATAAAATATCAAATATGTGAATGATTTAAAACAAATAAAAGAAGAAAAAAGGACAATAATTGCATAAAGTGATAGGTGTAAAAAATAAATAATAAAGATTCTATTCTAATTTTTAAATATTATAGAGTTAAGAAATCTTAAAACAAAATATCATATGACCTTTATAGTAAAATAAATAAATTAGAGGAATTATAATAACAAAAGATTAAGAAACAACTAATCGAACAGAAGATCATGAAAAAAAATAATTAATCAAAAAATCACATGATATTAGATAAGTAATTATTGAAATAATATAATGAAACACAAATTATCTGATATAATTGTTAAACAACACAGTCATATAAACACAATATAACTAAAAGTAATATAAATCTCATGACATAATTAGAAGAAAATATAATAATTAGAATGTAATATAATAGCTAGATGTGATATAATAATTTAAATATTATACAATAATCAGAAAGTAATACAATAACTAAAATGTTATATTAGCTTGTAGCGTTTAGACACAGCAAGTTTTGTAAGCAAAATTTAATTTGTTATTAAAAAATAAATTTTTAATTTTTAAATAAAATCTCTTCATTATTATATTATTTGTAACCTGTAATTTAAATTAATGAAGAGATTTTTAAAATTCGATCATTAGTTCAAGAGAAATAGGTACTTGAAAACGGTCTATTTCTATATATCATGATAAATTTAGCACCTAAAGTAGACGGATATGATTGGTCAATTTAACATTCATAGTCATGTGTAAATTTTACTGTGGCGTTTTTTAAGCTCTAAACTAAACTATATCAAAATTTAATTGATTTAATCTTAGCAAATAAAGATATTTTCTTTGCAACTAAACGTTTTTTTTATTTTTTTTTTTATTTTTATTTTTTTTTTTCTAATGCCAATTTTATAAAATATAAAAAATTTTACCAGTCAGTCAGTTCATAAAGTGATTGGTTTAGACTAATTTACATTAAAAATTCTCATTGGAATATTATTTTACATGCATAAAAAAAAAAAAGAAATGTAAATTAAATTTTGATTTACTCCTCCTAATAGGACACCAGTCAAGACAAAAAAATCATTTAGTACAATTAAACATATTTTCAAAAATAAGCCATTTATTGTTGAAGATTCCTTCTCTTTTGAAGAAGATTCTGAAATATCTTTTGATGATGAAATTGTATGAACAGACTCTGAACTTGATAATGAATCTGAAGATACACTAAAAAAACTTTTTCATGATTCAAAAAATATCAAACCTTCAAAACGGCCACTTCAATACACGGGTAACAGTATCTGAACTAAAAAAAGAAAGGAAGCAGCTGCAAAAAAAATGGTTATAAAAAATGGCAATACTATCACAAAGTTTTTTCTTTCTATATAAAATCAAACAGATGATGCTCAACCAAATGAATTAAAAGGTTACAATAAAACTCAAGATATTATCGATGATATTAATACAATCGATTTATCAGCTACAGAATCAGAAATAGAAAGTGACTCTGATGATAAAATTGAGTTAAAAAATCTAATCCCTCTTATAGAAAAAAAACTTCAAGATGAAATTTTACCATTTGAACAAAAATGGCGATTAAGAGCTGTACTTCAATATTATTGATGTTGTCAATTAAACATCAGAAAAATGGAAGCCAGCCTTTTTATTGCACAACAATTAGGAAAAAATAAATATTTTGCCCATCAACTCTTAGAATGGACTTGTATGTGCACAAAAACAAGAAATCCCTATCTCAATGCGCGGAAAACATATTAAAGTCAAAAGCTTTCTTGATTGATGAAAATATCCATCATGAAATCATTAACTATTTACAAATAAATAAATTTGAATTTTATTTATCAGATTTTGTGAATTATGCATCAAATTTTATATTTCTAAAATTAGGTATTAATTGTGAAACTAAAATTGCGTATATAAATTTTTTTTTATTTATTATAATTTTATTTAAAATATATTAATTATTTTTTATTTATTTATTAGAAAAACTACAG